GTTTAATATGGTGTTACATCACTAACTGTCCTCACCTACTGTTTAATATGGTGTTACATCACTAACTGTCCTCACCTACTGTTTAATATGGTGTTACATCACTAACTGTCCTCACCTACTGTTTAATATGGTGTTACATCACTGACTGTCTTCATCTACTGTTTAATATGGTGTTACATCACTAACTGTCCTCATCTACTGTTTAATATGGTGTTACATCACTAACTGTCCTCATCTACTGTTCAATAATGTGTTACATCACTGACTGTCCTCATCTACTGTTCAATAATGTGTTACATCACTGACTGTCCTCATCTACTGTTTCAATAATGTGTTACATCACTGACTGTCCTCATGTACTACAGAATTTCTGGACTTGAGCAGGAGTAAGTTATTCTTTACTCTTAACAGCATATTAAAAGTCTGTAGTATTTAGTGGGTCGTTTCTTTCCAACTTCTAACGAGAAAAACCCTCCCTTGTTTTCATAACTCAGGAACGTTGATGTGTCGTCTCATTGTTTTCCCCGTGATCCAAAAGTATGACGAAGTCGGGACCAAAAATCGACAGTTAAAAAAGTTTGTTCCTTTCTGTGCGTATCTTTCAAATTGTCCATCAGATAATTAAAGACAATCAGATTACAATTTTATTTTGAATTTTCATATCTTCAAGTTAGGTATAATTAAAAGAAATATACTTGTTGAGAGAATGTGCCAGCTAAAGATTTGTAACATATAATTTCGATGTTTTAGTGTCTCCTGCTGAAATAGCGTTAGTTTACAGGCTTACAACGCTAGAATCCGGGGTTCGATTCTTCGAGATGAACACAGCAGGTAGTCCAATGTGGCTTTGATATTTGCACTATGTCTGTCACAGGTATCGAAACCCCAATTTTAGTGTTATAAACCTTCTAGTTTACCGCTGATCCATCAGGTGGCTTTTACATTGACGATCTAATTATTAACAGGAGCTACACAGTGTGCTATCTTTGCTATGCCAACCACGAGTATCGAAACCCGGTTTTTAGCGTTGTAAAGCTTCAGATCTTACCGCTGAGCCACTGGGAGCGCGTCAGTAAAACAATACCCAGATTAAAAGTAGATAAGCTTCTGTAGGATCCCCCGAAAGTATTGTTTCAAGAGTAAATAAAACCCAAATTAAGAATAACAAATATTTAAATTTCTTGTTTTTGAAGTTCATATGTCATGTTGTGTTCTAGCTTAGAGAGTACATACTTTTTCTCGTGATTCATGGCATGCGCACGTTTTACTAATGTCACGACATTACAAATTGCTATGATAAGCGTCCCTTATGTGACGTCATTTTAGTATCTACCGACTGACTGACTGACAGACATCACACACGATTATACAGAAACGTTGATGTCCTACCATTGTGTTCACCATTATCTAGAAACGTTGATGTCCTACCATTGTGTTTATCATTACTTAGAAACGTTAGTGTCCTACCATTGTGTACATCGTTACTTAGAAACGTTGGTGTCCTACCATTTTGCTCATCATTACTTAGAAACGTTGATGTCCTACCATTTTGCTCATCATTACTTAGAAACGTTGATGTCCTATGATTTTGTTCATCATTACCTAGAAACTTTGATGTCCTACCATTGTGTTCATCATTACCTAGAAACGTTGGTGTCCTTCCATTGTGTTCATCGTTACTTAGAAACGTTGATGTCCTACCATTGTGTTCATCATTACCTAGAAACGTTGGTGTCCTTCCATTGTGTTTATCGTTACTTAGAAACGTTGGTGTCCTACCATTGTGTTCATCATTATCTAGAAACGTTGGTGCCCTACCATTGTGTTCATCATTACCTAGAAACGTTGGTGTCCTTCCATTGTGTTCATCGTTACTTAGAAACGTTGGTGTCCTACCATTGTGTTCATCATTATCTAGAAACGTTGGTGCCCTACCATTGTGTTCATCATTACCTAGAAACGTTGGTGTCCTACCATTGTGTTCATCGTTACTTAGAAACGTTGATGTCCTATGATTTTGTTCATCATTACCTAGAAACGTTGGTGTCCTACCATTGTGTTCATCGTTACTTAGAAACGTTGGTGTTCTACCATTGTGTTCATCATTACTTAGAAACGTTGATGTCCTATGATTTTGTTCATAATTGCCTAGAAACTTTGATGTCTTACGATTTTGCTCATAATTGCCTAGAAACGTTGATGTCCTACCATTGTGTTCATCACTACCTAGAAACGTTGGTGTCCTACCATTGTGTTCATCGTTACTTAGAAACGTTGGTGTCCTACCATTGTGTTCATCATTACCTAGAAACGTTGGTGTCCTACCATTGTGTTCATCGTTACTTAGAAACGTTGAGGTACTACCATTGTGTTCATCATTACTTAGAAACGTTGATGTCCTACCATTGTGTTCATCATTACTTAGAAACGTTGATGTACTACCATTGTGTTCATAATTTCGTAGAAAAGTTGGTGTCCTACCACTTACCATGAATTTAATATAGATTTTACAAAGTATTTCTAACATTAATTAACCTGTAGTGTTTTATATGGGTTATATTGAGTGCATTATTTTGTTCTTTTCCATTTCAGATTCACACAATTGCCAGAAATCCCAACGGTGATGCTCTAGTGGCGACCTCTGGTGTCAAGATGGAAAATAATACCAGACGATTCGTTACTGACGAGCAGCACGAGATGTTTTACCGGGCTCAAGTACAAAATCGAGTTTATAAAAGAGAAATAGTTGAGGTATCTTGTCAAAATCAGTTCTGTAATTCAAATCCTTTGGAAAATCGACACTTTTAATGGTTCCATATTTGTTATTATTTTGTCAAAGGTTTATCTATTTCCAAGTCTTTCGAATAATACATTCCTAAAATAGAGAAATCAACGTTCCCCAAGGAACTAGGAGGTATTTGTCAAATATAATCACACTCAGACATGGATCTTATACTTTATATATCGTCTGTTTCGTGATGCTTCCTCCAAGTTAAGTGTTTAAAGTATATTGCACTTCCGGTCCAGAATATCGGAAGATACTTTAAGATATTACAGGTACTACCGGTCCAGAATATCGAAAGGTACTATAACATATTACAGGTACTTCCAGTCCAGAATATCGGAAGGTACTATAAGATATTACAGGTACTTCCGGTCCAGAATAGCGAAAGGTACTTTAAGATATTACAGGTACTACCGGTCCAGAATATCGGAAGGTACTTTAAGATATTACAGGTACTACCGGTCCAGAATATCGAAAGGTACTATAACATATTACAGGTACTTCCAGTCCAGAATATCGGAAGGTACTATAAGATATTACAGGTACTTCCGGTCCAGAATAGCGAAAGGTACTATAAGATATTACGGGTACTTCCGGTCCAGAAGAGCGAAAGGTACTATAAGATATTACAGGTACTTCCGGTCAAAATTACAGAAAAATATTATAGAGTCTAAGCAGTAATTTAGGTCCAGAATTTCAAAATGTATTGAGGGATCTAAATGGTACTTCCGTTCCAGAATATCGAACGTTATTATAAGATTGTAGATAAATAAATAATGTATCCGTCAAACACTGGTAACAGTAGAATGTTTCAGAACTTTGTGGTGATAAAATAGTCTTAGCTAAATTTGTTGTACTTCTTTAATCTAACCTTTCCTCTGAATTGTTGTTTCTTTTACAGTTAGACAGAGAGATCGTGAAACTACAAGTAATGATGAATACTAAAGAGTCATCTGGTGTTAGTGATAATGAACTTAATGATATTTTCTTCACAAACGTTCAGGTATAAAATTACTTTTTCAAAGAAAGTGATGGCATTATTAAGAAGTGAATCCTATTGTTTTACATTTATCATAACTGGTCACGTAATAGATAAGTTTTATTATATCTGGATGAAATCTATCACGTAATTAGTAAGTTACGTTTTATTATGTCTGGATGAAATCTATCACGTAATACATAAGTTTATTATATCTGGATGAAATTTATCACGTAATATGTAAGTTACGGTTTATTATATCTGGATGAAATCTATCACGTAATTAGTATCTTACGTTTTATTATATCTAGATGAAATCTATCACGTAATTAGTAAGTTACGTTTTATTATGTCTGGATGAAATTTATAACGTAATAAGTAAGTTTTATTATAATTGGATTAGATTTATGACGTAACAACTAAGTTAAGTTTTATCATAGCTGGATGAAATATATCACGTAATATGTAAGTTTTATTATATCTGGATGAAATCTATCACGTAATAGATAAGTTTTATTATGTCTGGATGAAATTTATCACGTAACAACTAAGTTAAGTTTTATCATATCTGGATGAAATATATCACGTAATATGTAAGTTTTATCACATCTGAATGACATTTATCACGTGATATGCAAGTTTTATCACATCTGGGTGAAATCTATCACGTAATAAGCCAGTTTTAGTACACGTGAATGAAGTTTGTTAGGTGTTAAATGCATTTTTAAGTATTTGTATTAGCGTTACAGAAACCAATGACACATTAGTTTAATATGACACTGTTAAATTTGTTTTTAAATATATCTTAGTTAATAAAAATGATCCAATAATTCCACGAGCTATGAGACATCTTTATACTGTCTTCAAAATAAAATACAGTATATGCTTCAAATTTTGTAAAAATATATCTCATTTCTAATTCTCTCTGCGTTTTCAATTGATTGGTTTCAATACTGTTCAGCTTTATGTTTTTTTATTGTTTATTAAATTTGAATAAGTAGTATTACATTCAGAAAACCGAAAATCACAAATATATGACGTCAGCTAATGTGTATTTTGCATTTTTCGCTAAAAATTCATCCAAGTGTCGTAAGTTTTTCACGTTTTTTGTTTGTTTGTTTGCAATAGATCAAAGCCACAACGGATTATCTTAGGGGAATCGAACCTCGGATTTTAGCTTTACAAGTCCGTAAACTTACTGCTTTTCCACAAGGGAACTTTATGTGTTTCAAAAAACAGTACTACTTGTAGGTGTTTAAAAAATTGTATTGTTTTTTGGAGGTTCAACAAATGTTACTGGTTTAAGGTGTTTCAACAAACAATACCACTTGTAGGTGTTTAAACAAATAGTATTATTTTTTGGTGGTTCAACAAAGATTATTGGCTTTAGGTGTTTGAACAAACAGTATCACTTGTAGGTATTTAAACAAATAGTATTATTTTTTGGTGGTTCAACAAAGATTATTGGCTTTAGGTGTTTAAACAAATAGTATTGTTTTTTGGAGGTTCAACAAATATTACTGGTTTAAGGTGTTTCAACAAACAATACCACTTGTAGGTGTTTAAACAAATAGTATTGTTTTTTGGTAGTTCAACAAAGATTATTGGCTTTAGGTGTTTAAACAAATAGTTAAAGCCAATAATCTTTGTTGAACCACCAAAAAACAATACTATTTGTTTAAACACCTACAAGTGATACTGTTTGTTCAAACACCTAAAGCCAATAATCTTTGTTGAACCACCAAAAAACAATACTATTTGTTGAAACACCTACAAGTGGTATTGTTTGTTGAAACACCTTAAACCAGTAATATTTGTTGAACCTCCAAAAAACAATGGTGTTTGAACAAACAGTATCACTTGTAGGTGTTTAAACAAATAGTATTGTTTTTTGGTGGTTCAACAAAGATTATTGGTTTAAGGTGTTTCAACAAACAATACCACTTGTAGGTGTTTCAACAAATAGTATTATTTTTTGGTGGTTCAACAAATAGTATTATTTTTTAGTGGTTCAACAAAGATTATTGGCTTTAGGTGTTTGAACAAACAGTATCACTTGTAGGTGTTTCAACAAATAGTATTATTTTTTGATGGTTGAACAAGTATTATTGGTTTTAGGTGTTTCAACAAACAGTATTATTTTTCTGTGGTGGATCTACATAGACTAAGTTTACCTGATAACGTACTAATATAATATAAAGCTATCACACTGTACCACAAGTTGTAGGTTACATGGTTTCTAAAATGTCATAATTTCTGGTATATTGCATGTATTGAAGATATTGAAAAGTAAATGATGTCTTCAAGGACTGTATTCATTTACTCTGTTTGACTGTATTCGTTTAGATGAACTTCCCTCACAGTCCAAATTCTGCACTTCTGATCCAAGCGAATAAAAGAGAGTCATCGGAAAGTGACGTCAGTCAACCCCAACGAAGGGAAAACGCCAAAGGAGGTTTCAAAAGACAGTCTATCCAGATCAGTAAGATGTGCACACCAGAAGAGCAGGTCCATCAGAAACGTAGTTCATGTTTAAATCAGGATATCACTGTGGGTAGTTATCCCTCTTCTGTGTACAGTCTGGAGGAGAGCCTACCACAAAACAAACATCAAAGACGTTCTGGCCATTTGAACGATGGAGTTAATCACGTGCTCTGTTTCTCCAATTACACATCTGATTTCATGTCTTCACAGGTTGACAATCGTGTAAATGGTAGCCCTTCTTCTTCCGATACCATCGGTGACGACACTTGGACAACAGCGCCCCCTAACTTTAGTTTACTCTCCTCCTCAGACGACTGTTTTGAATCAACTAAAGAAACGTTTGCCGAGATAAATGTGTCTCACGACGTTGGTTCAACAAGTAGACCGTTTAGTGATACAGAAGGATGGGGTAGAAACCCTCAAACAGCTAGCTGACGAAAAAAGACAAAAAGCTGAAAAGCTTCAAGAGGAATTACGGAAACTGGAGAGAGAGTTGATTCTTTTGGAAATCGACCAATCACACGGTGTCGATTTGTAACAGAAAATTCAAATATCACGTCCATCTATACCTTAACATTCTATACATATCAAACTATTTTATTACAGGATCAAATGTTTCCGGCTTTTGTATATAATAGCTTTTCTACTAACTGGTCCTTCTAAAGTTTCAAAAGAGGTGTCTTTGGATAAAACACAGCGTCAATCATAGCAGTACTGAGAGGTTTGCTTTGTGAATAAAGCCAACACGGGATTTATTCTTTCATTGTCTCTCGCTGGAACGAGATTTAATGTTTTATGTAGAACAACTTACCACTTAACAAAGTAATTTTTTGTTCCGCTGATTGTTTAGTTTTGGATAATATTGTTTTAAACGTTAATCTCCTGAGATAATGTAGAAAACAAAAACTGTTTATAGAATTGTATGAACCCAATGAAACTTTATGAGTTTCTATTTGCTTATTAAAGATTTAATATTGAATGACGCTGTACTTTACAGACATTAACGTAAAGTTCGCTGGTCTTGGAAATACGGTTCTCATCCATATAAACCACATATTATTTAAAAAAAGGATGGCGATACTCTATCACTTCTAAATTAAGGATGGCGATACTCTATCACTTCTAATTGAGGATGGCGATATTCTATCACTCTAAATTTAGGATGGTGATACTTTATCACTTCTAAATTAAGGATGGTGATACTATATCACTTCTAAATTAAGGATGGTGATACTTTATCACTTCTAATTTAGGATGGTGATACTTTATCACTCTAAATTAAGGATGGTGATACTTTATCACTTCTAATTAAGGATGGTGATACTCTATCACTTCTAAATTAAGGATGGCGATACTCTATCACTTCTAAATTTAGGATGGCGATATTCTATCACTCTAAATTTAGGATGGTGATACTCTATCACTTCTAATTGAGGATGGCGATATTCTATCACTCTAAATTTAGGATGGTGATACTCTATCACTTCTAATTGAGGATGGCGATATTCTATCACTCTAAATTTAGGATGGTGATACTTTATCACTTCTA